TGCCTGACTCCTTCTGTCCCGTCCTATGGGTCTCCACCAGAAGGTGCCTTAGACTTGTGGCAGGCTTTCAGGCCTCAGAGGCCCTGCTTTGAGCCAACCCTGTTTGGGCAGTTACCTACCAGGGGATGGGTAACTTTGGGTGTCTGGTGTGATAACTATTTTATCTATTCTTTCCCTTCTCCTTATAGTGCACTAATTGTATTAAAGATCCTTCCACTGAAGATCTTACTCACCAGAGCATGTTTTGACTTTATGTGGCAAATGGCAGAATCTATTTAGTGCTGGCAGATTTGGGGGTTCCTGAGGTGCCCCTAACCTTGCCCAATAATAAGAGTATATGAGGTAATGCTAAGTGCTTAGCACCAAGCCTGGTGCATAACAGAATCTTGCTCAAGCTTAGTTATTGACATTGCTAGCACTGCTTTTTATCATCATTATCACCATTGCTCTCTTTATAATTATCAGAGTCAAAAACATTATTTCTGGGGCTTTTAGGTTTGCTTATTCCCTCACTCTCCATGGAGGGAAATTTTCCATTCTCTGAGACCACTCTCACTTTTTGTAAATGTTTATAACTAGAAGAAAATGGGACTAAGTAGGACTTTATTCTAATGAGTTATATAGCTTTTAGCTAGTAGCATCCAAGTAGGTGTTCTCTTACGCATTCAGGGAATGTTCCCTAGTAAAAATTCAGATCCATTTAGCACATGGCTGCTGCCTGAAAATGCACATATCTTAATGTTGAACTCTAGATATGTGGACTAGATTCTTTCTACTTATAGATATTACCAAAGAAAGGGAAGCTAATTTTTGGCACTTTTCCCTTTAGATATTAAATTGAATTTTAAATCTATCTTTACTCTTTAAATTATCCATCACATGTAAACAAATTGTTTTTGAATATTTATCTATTCAATTATTTGCATGTTTTAGCAAAGAATTTAAATCTGCCTTAGGTAATAGCAAGTGCTTTTTATTGAACATATTGAGGTACTTGCAAAGCAACAAGGAAGGCTTCCTCACCAACAGAGGATTGCTCCCAGTTCCTGGTCTCCCAAGCCCTTTTGAGAAGTTACCTTTTTTGTTGTTGTTCCCGACTGGCCAATGGAAAGTGACGGACAAGTGTAACTTATCATCCAATGAATTAACTTGTGCAGACAACCATACGACTGCCACAAGCCAAAGAAATCATTTGAACATTTGGATTCTTTCTAGAACTTTCTGAACTCTGTAAGAAATAGTTAATTTTCTTCAGGCTTTTGTGTTAGCTTGACCAAGAAGAGGAAAAGAATTAGGCCTTTGAGCTTACTTAGTAGTAAATGACAGACAAATCCTAGCCCTAGGAGCAATTCCTTTTCTATTTCCTAAGTCTGACACTACAGTGATATGGCCTCCTTCCCACCCTCCTGCATGAAAGTGCCTCTGGGAGTTACCTTATCCAAGTTCACAATAGAACACCTCATTAGTCATGAACAACACCTATTAAAAAGCCGAAGATTCCTAGAATTCCTCTATAAAATTACTCATCTCAGAATTGTTATTTTTGATTCAAATATATGTTCAGGAACCCAAATTCCAAGCCTACACTAACACCCTGTGATTTGGGTCCTTTAGCTTCTTAGCTTCCCTCATTGTTTAGTGGAACATCATAGGCATGGAGATTGCTGATGACTGTCCCCAGAAAATGCAGTGCAAAAAATGATATGTTTCTGCCCACGAAAACATGTTTGGCAAAAATGCAAAATTAAAACAAGGACGGAATATTAAAATATTTAATTATATCTGCTTCACAGTTAGCCATATGACAGGGAGCATGGCTGTGAGGTGAGAAATGCATGAGGTTGGTACACAAGTCCAGCTGGTTCTAGAAACAGCAATCCTGACCACACACTCTTCAAGGAACTCTGGTCAGGCCTTGTCCACAGCAGGACACGTTTAGATGATGAAGCTGCCAACTAGCTAGCCAAGGCCCTAGGAAACAACTAAGGAAAATATCCTTCAATCTTTTTTTGACTGCAGTGTGTCATCATTAATTTTGCTCTCAGGTTTAAGGAGAGCATTTTTCCCCACCCCATCATAAATCCAACTTTATGTATTTAATGTTAGGTTTTTGGAACTAAAAGAAAATTTTAGTGGCTATCCCTGAAGTGGAAAACTCGCAGCTTAGGGTTTTGACATGTAAAATCTGAGAGAAGTTTTCTAATCCTCATTCTACTTAAAACTCACTTTCCACCAGTATTGTGCTTATGCCCAGGATTGCTTTTGTTCATCCCTCACTGAAATCTGAAAATAACAGAAATCAGAACAGAAATGGAACTAAATCTATGTTATACAGAAATGAGCAATCCTACTTATTTCACCAGGGACACCATAATATACTATTACTACACAGAGAAATTATATGTAATTAATGAGATGACTGGGTATCCTGTCAATGTTGCACTGGACTTATGTCTGATATTCTGGGAATTGCTACAGCTCTTATAAGAGCAAAAGTTAACTTGCAGATTTTTGCTCCTTAGAGATATGCATTGTTTCTATCTGATGGCAACAGATTATGATGAAAGCTAATCATCCTGGGCCTCCCTGGTGGCGCAAGGGGTTGAACGCAGTGCTGTGGAGCTGTCCACGGCCTCTGCTCTGAGCATTTGATCCCCAGCTAGGGAGCTACCCACATGGAGCAGCAGACCTCTCCTGATTTGCCCGCTGCTCCCCTCAGCAGTGTATTTCAGTCAATCCACCTGTTCTGCTCCCCACTCTGTCTCTGGTGAATCCTCTCACCCCTCGTACCTCTGACCTACACCCCAGCTCTTGTATGCAAAAATGAATAAAATAAATCTTTTAAAAAAAGGGTTTTTTTACAATGAAGGTTTTACACACTAAGAGTATGCTTTGTCTTTATGTGGTGGATGGCAGAACCCATTCAGAGCAGGCAGGTTTGAGGGTCCTGGGGTGCTCCTCATTCTGCCTGCTAACATTGATCTCATCGACACCCTGGTGGTAAAATAACAAGAAAAAAATGTGGACCTCCCTGGTGGCGAGGGGTTAAACAATGCACTATGAAGCAATCCCGGCCCGCCAGGGAGCAACCCATATGGCGCAGCAGACCTCTCCTGTCTCGCCCACTGCTCCCCTCAGCAGTGTATTTCAGTCAATCTGCCTGTTCTGTTCCCCGCTCTGTCTCTGGTGAATCTTCTCTTCCCTGCATGTCTGCCCTGTACCCCAGCTCCTGTATGTATAAATAAATACATCTTTAAAAAAAAAAAAAGAAAAAAAAGTCCTTGTCTCTTCCACTTCACCTACCTTTCTGTTAAAAAAAAAAAAAAAAAAAAGAAAAGAAAAAAAAGAAAAAATCCCTAAATTCTGGGAATCCTACCTCCTTTTTACTGCTTAAGCAACATTTCATGGAACCCTCAAGCCCAGGCTACCCGTCTCCCTCTTACATGGCACAGGCCTCGAACTAGCTTCCCTATTTCCGTTTTTGTCTCCCTCTGTTGAGTACATAAACACCCGTGTGCTCTTTAAAAACTATCCTGAGGGCCTCCCTGGTGGCACAGGGGTTAATGACAGAGCTATCAAGCAATCGACAGCCACTGCAGCAAGAGTTCGATGCCCCGCCAGGGAGAAACCCCCATGGCGCAGCAGACCTCTCCTGCCTCGCCCGCTGCTCCCCTCAGCAGTGTATTTCGGTCAGTCTGCCTGTTCTGCTCCCCACTCTGTCTCTGGTGAATCCTCTCACCCCACCACACCTCTGGCCTTTACCCCAGCTCTTGTATGCATAAATAAATAAATCTTTTAAAAAATAAAAAATATTAAAAATAAAAACTATCTTGCTATGGCATGCCCTGTTTAAATTTTTCAATGGCTTTCTGTGTGTCCCCCGACATGAAAACAAACCAGTGTGACTCACCTTTTCAAGACTGTTAATTGAACAAGACAGTTACTTCACCGGCCCCATCACCGATGCTGCCTTTCCAGCCTGGAGGTCAGGATTTAGCGCACATTTCTCCCTTCAGGACAGGTAATGAATATTTTAGGCTTTTCAAGACATCAATCTCTTCTGCAATGACTCACTCTGAAACCAGGGTTCCTCGGCAGCAGGGTGGGCCCCGGGGCAGGAGAGCTGGGAGCTGCTGGAAAAGCAGTGGCTGTTTCCCCTGAAGCACCAGAAGCTGCTGCTGTCGGGCTGCTGGGCCTGGGGCCGGGAGCTCCCGCTGGCTGCCCCCTCCCGCCTCGGGCAGCACCCAGGCCTGCAGGGAGCTGCCCAGGCCCGGGCCGCCTGCTGACAGGGCTGCGGACCGGACCGGACCCGCTGGGCCTGCTGCTGCGCTTCCCTCTGTCTCTTCTGCGCAGGCTCCACAGAGGCGCCCAGGAGGCGCGAGCTGGAGGGGCAGCCGTGGGCAGCAGCTCCTCGGGGTAACTCAGCCCCAGGGGGTCTCGCTGGCCCTCAGGTGGTCCAGTCGTTCGGTAGAAGTGAAGGGGGTCCAGTCAGTCAGGGACCGGCCGGGGAACCTGGACGAGCACAGAAGGCGGCAGGTGGCGGCTGGGGACTCTCGCCGACTGTCCCTGTGCTCTGAGGAGGACAGAAGAAGCCACGGGGCTTGGCACACACCGGCTGCGGCTCCTGCCTCCGGCCCTGCTTCTGACCTCGCCAGAAAGGGGCGCCGGAGGCCCCGGACCTGGCGTCTCAAAGGGCTGCTGTGGTGTGGGGCGGCCGCTCACACAGGGCTGGGCACGCCGGGGCCCCCTGCACGTTGCCGGGCGGCCAGCACTGTGTCTGGGTCACCTTAAGAGCCACTGTCATCCGGCAGCGGCTCCCAGAGCGGCTGCCTCCAGGGCTGTCGGGTCCAGCGTGGGGTGCTGGCCATCCTGACCTTCAGACTGGATGGGGCGGCTGCAGGGTCCCCTCAGTGGCCCCTGGGAGTGCCCCCAGCTGCCATGCACTCCAGCCCTCATTGGCTGGCCTGCGCCATCTTGGAGGAATGACCTTCACTTTGGGACTTCTGGACACTGTGGACACTATCTGAGGTGAGATATCCAGCCACCTATGGCCTTAGAAACTTTGTTTTCCCTGTTTGTTCTATTTATTTCTTTGTTTATTTATGCCTACAAGAACTGGGGTACAGGCCAGAGGTGTAGGGGGTGAGAGGATTCACCAGAGACAGAGTGGGGAGCAGAACAGGCAGACTGACTGAAATCCGCTGCTGAGGGGAGCAGCGGGCAAGACAGGAGAGGTCTGCCGTGCCATGTGGGTAGCTCCCTGGCCGGGAATCGAACTTGTGCTACAGTGGCTGCGGATTGCTTCATAGGTTGCGTCTTATACCCTTGTGCCACCAGGGAGGCCCTTTTCCTGTTTGTTCAATAAACCCCATTGTTTCCTGAGCCTGAGAACCCTGAGGCAATGTTCTCAGGCATTTGTGGCACCTCAGTAGCCTCTTCTGGAGCCCTCTTTCAACTCTGCCATCATAGAGCAAAACAAATCCATAGCCAACCCCATAACAAACCCATAGCTTTAGCTCATACTGCTCTTTCAGCACTGTCAATAGGGTGAACATTTTTCTGCCTCAGGGTTTTTGCAAGTACAGTGCAGTGCCTGGCTTACTTTGAAATAAAAAAAAGCTTGCCATTATTCCCTCACACCTGGCCTGCTTCACACACACACATATATAATTGTACGCCCCCTTCAGGCTTTTGAGAATATGATGCTTTGTGAGAGGTTCACTTCTGGAATATTCTAGATGGAGTGGAGTCCTGGCCTCCTCCCAACCTGGAAAGGAGAACACCTGCCCAAGTGCAGGGAGGTCTGGTGTGGAAGAGCCCTCTGTTGCCAGGCTGGGTAGGAGAGAGCTTTGGAACAACTGACTGTTTGGGATTTCCAAAGGTGGATTTTGGCTTTGAGCTAGGAAATGAGCCACTTTGCGTATGTCTCTGAAAAACTTTTCCGAGTCAGTTTGATGAAACTAGTAAAGCCAAACATTTTTTAATTTAAAAACCATCCTTCATGTTTTTTTTTTTTTTTTAGATACAGTAGTTTTATAATTTTTAAAGATTTATATATGTATTCAACAGTTGGGGTACAGGCCAGAGGTGAGGGGGGCAAGAGGATTCACCAGAGACAGAGGTGGGAGCAGAACAGGCAAAATGACCAAAGCACACTGCTGAGGGGAGCAGCGGGTGAGACAAGAGAGGTCTACCGTGCCATGTGTGCTGCTCCCTGGCTGGCTGGGAATCGAACTTGTGCTGCAGTGGCTGCAGACAGCCCCATAGGTTGCGTCTTAACCCTTGGGCCACCAGGGAGGCTCCATCCTTCATGTTTTAAAAAGAGAAGCACCAGATCTCCTTTCCTGCAGATACAGGGAGTAGAAGATTCCTCCTTGTGGTAACCCTTTTAAGGAAACCAAAGTTAAAACAAACATAGGGCAAGAAACAAACAAATCCCTTTCTAGATCAGGGCTGATGCTCTTTTCAATCATTTCAATGTTGGTTTATCTGTTTTGGTGTGAATCTGCCAGTTCTCTGTTGTCCTTCCACATAAGTTTGTGCCCAAAAAGCTACCACGTTGCAGTAAATGCCAAACATTGATGTTAAGATCAGGTCCCTCTTTGGAAACAAGTCTCTGGCAAAAAGCTGTATGTTCACATGCATATTGTTGCCATCCAAATTCTGAGATACACAAGAATGAAATGCTGTTTGGACTTTTATGCCAAACATAAAGGCTTTTTGAAAATGCTACAGCCAAGACTCTACAGAGCCCATTTTTTAGAGAGGAAACAATGGTTATGCCCTGGAAGGGCATGTTTCTTTTTATGCTCACACACCAGAGGTTGGAGGTTTGCTCACACGGCTCTGTGCTGTGAGTTGGGTAAATGGAGCAGCAGCCCCCAGTCCTGTATTTGCTAGACAAGGAAGCAACGCTGCTATAGAAACCAGTGGGCACTGGGTGGGAGGGGAGTGAGAGAGCGGTTGGTGTCAACAAAAGACCTCAGGGAATGAGGTTACGAGAAGGGCATGGAAGGTAACCCCATTTATAAAGCTTTTTTTAAATTAGAAGTTCTCTTTCTTTAGTTTTAAAAAGATTTATTTTATTTATGCATATAAGAACTGAGGTGCAGGCCAGAGGTGAGGGGGTAAGAGGATTCACCAAAGACAGAGTGGGGAGCAGAACAGACAGATCTACTGAAATGCACTGCTGAGGGGAGCAGTGGGTGAGACAGGAGAGGTCTGCTGCACCATGTCAGGGATCGAACTCATGCTGCTGTGGCTGGCAACAGCTTGATAGTGCTGAGACTTTAACCTCTGCACCACCAGGGAAGCCCTCTTTATAATATAAAGAGACTGCAAAATTACTGCAGTAGCGTTGGTGTACAGCTCTGTACGCGTTCACACCTCTTCACTGAGATGGCATCACACCACACCCACTGCCAAAGTTCCTGAGACCCTCCGCAGCCCACTGGACTTCCCCACCCCCTTTGCGGCCACTACCCCTCTTTTTCTTCTAATTTTGACATTATTGATCATTCTGTTATAGAGCAACCCCGATATTAAACGGGTTCCTGGCTGTGGGTCCTCACCCGCGCGCTTTAAAGGGACTTATGAATACTCTACTTCAGACACACACAAAAGGGTTAATAAAAGGTTTATTTACAAGAGGAAAGGAAATAAGGAAAATGTACAACTCAGGGAGAAAATAGGGAAATAAAGTCTTTAATGCGTCCTACCCGATCCGACGACCTGGAAACCCAAAGTCACTCCCAGAGCTGGCCGGAGGCTCCACGCTGGCCCAGAGCCCAAAATGGAGAGCCCCCAAAGCCCACGTGTCTGCCTTTTGTATCCACCTGGCTGCTTAACCCCACCCTCAGGTCCCAGCCACCTTCCCTTTGGTGGTGATGGGATTTGGAGTTCCCAGTGTCTTTGGCTTTGACCTGGGGTGGGGGTGGAGTCCACAAAGCCTGTATGGAATTTGCTTTGGGACCGCCTTTTCCCCCTAACAATTCCTTTAAGTCAAAATTAACCTATATGGTTTTTAGAGGTAAAAGAGTAAAGTAGATATAGGGGGCATCATTTCCCTGTCCCTCCTTAGAAGACCATGTTCCAACTGAAGGTGGTCCCTAAACCACAGACTGGATTCCACTGACACCCATGATTTTGACATGCGTTCGGGGTGGTAATTATTACAGAGGTTGTCCTCTATAATAACAGGGTGTTCTCCAGTTGGGACAAACAGAATGACCAAATTGCCTTCAGCTGGAAATTGTTATGTCAGAGTGATCTTATGTGATCTTGTGTCTTCTTCATCTGTGTGATCACACTCTCTGCAGCCCAGTCATGTCTCAGGAGGACTTTTGCCACCAGTCCAACATTACCCCCCACCCCCAACTCCTCACTTCAGAAGCCTCTTCAAAACCACCATCAAGAGACATCACTGCCTTCAGGGATGAATGCAAGGCCTCTGAGATCTGCCATCCATAGGCTCTCTAGACAATAATGCTCATCTATTTTTTTCTCTGCCTCCTTCCTTCCATATCCTCTGGCTAAAGATGATTCTCATCCTTAAGCCCTGTTGGGTCTCAGCCCATGCTTTGTAGCTCCTTCTCACAAGGATGCTATTCCCATCTGGGACTGAATATATTCTAAAGATCTCAAAATCTGGGCCTCCCTGGTGGCTCAGGGGTTAAAGGCAGTGTTATCAAGCTACATCACCAGCTGATGCAGCAAGAGTTTCATCCCAGGCCAGGGAGCAATCTACATGGTGGAGCAGACCTCTCCTGACTCGCCTGCTGCTCCCCTCAGCAGTGTATTTCAGTAGATCTGTTAGGCGGAAAGGATGTCCTAAAGCTAATTCCATACAGGCTTTGTAGACTCCACCCCCCACTCCAGACTAAAGCCAAAAGACATTGGGAACTCCAAATCCCATCACCACCAAAGGGAAGGTGGCTGGGACCTGAGGGTGGGGTTAAGCAGTCAGGTGTGGTATAAAGCCAGACATGTGGGCTTTGGAAGGGGTCCCCCATTTTGGCTCTCCGCCAGCTCGCAGCGTCCGGCCAGCTCTGAGAGTGACTTTGGGTTTCCAGGTCGGCGGATCGGGCAGGACGCATTAAAGACTTTATTTCCCTATTTTCTCCCTGAGTTGTACATGTTCCTTATTTCCTTTCCCCTTGTAAATAAACCTTTTATTAACCTTTTGTGTGTGCCTGCAGTAGAGTATTGATAAGTCCTTTGAAGCGCGAGGGTGAGGACCCACAGCCCGGCAACCCGTTCAATATCGGGGCTGCCCTATAACAGATCTACCTGTTCTGCTCCCTGCTCTGTCTCTGGTGAATCCTCTCACCCTCCATGCCTCTGGTCTGTACCCCAGTTCTTGTACGCATAAGTAAATGAATATTTTTTAAAAAATGTCAAAATCTGGCCCCACTAGCTTCCCAGGATGCTTCTCTTGCAGCCTCTGCCTGCGATAATACCTCTTGCACTTTAATCTGTGGTGGTGGGGAGGGATTTCTACATCATCTGGTATTATAGAAAATGCAGTTTGTGGGAATTTTGTGTTTAGTTTCACACCCCCTCTGCTCCACAACATTATTTCTCTGTGTAGCTTTCAGGGGGACAGGGAAGTTTCACAAGTTAATTGCCAAAGTTCTTCCAAGAACTAGAAATCCTGAAATGCATTGAAAATATTTTTTCATTATAGAAAACCATTTTCCCCCCTGTAGTGGATATAATGGATTGCAATTAAAGTCCATTTAACCCTGTGGTAGGGAATCTTCCTGTATTCCTTGCAATAGTGTCTGGAGCCTGGTTTGAGTTTCTGGCTATCAGAAATAGTCAAACAGGGTTTTGATGGCCAGAGATGCAAAAGCTTCTGCCTGTTCAGCTTTCTGCCTGGAGGCATAATCTTTGAGACCTTGGAGTTTTCTTCACAGCCGATTCAGTCACTTTGTGAGTGACAAAATGTAGCTATAACAGTGACAATGACACTGCCTTCTCCCCTGACCTCAGCTCAGGCAAAGGACTTTGTGAATCTAACATTTTAATTGTGGTAAAATATACATAACATAACATGTAGCATCTTAACCATTTCTAAATATCCACTTCGCAGTATTGAGTGTATTTACACTGCTGAGTCCGCATCCGGAAGTTTTTCTTCTGAAATTCTATACCCATTGAAAACATCAAGTCTCCATTTCCCTCCCACTATAGTTCCCAGCAACCACCATTCTGTTTTCTCTTCCTGTGTCATTAACTGTTCTTGATAGCTCATATAAATAGATTCAGCCAGCATTTGTCCTCTTGCAACTGACTTATTTTACTTAGCATAATGTCCTCAAGGCTCATCCCTGGAGCCTCAAGCAGAATCTTCCTCTTAAAAGCTGAGAATAGCCTATTATATGTAAATACCACATTTCTGTGTCCTTTCATCTGTGGGTGGGTTGTTTCATCTCTTGGCCATCTGAAATATTGCTGCCAGGGTATGGGTGTAGACTTTGTGGTCTCAAGTCCCTAATTCCCCTGACAGCCTTCTCAGCAGGGTCCCACAAAAAAAAGGGGGGAGGGGAAAGGATTTTAGGTTAGGTGAGAGAGGCAAAATGACCTGGCAAAGACTTCTCACTTCATTTTGCCTCTCTTACCTGACCTAAAATCCTCCCCCCCCCTTTTTTTTTTTTTTTGTGGGACCCTCGCTGGTGGCCGGAGATTGAACTGGTGCCTCACAACCCAGCGTTCAACCGCTGCGCCACCAGGGGAGGCCCTCCTTCCCCTTTTTAAAAAAGATTTTTAAGAGTTTATTTATGCATACAAGAACTGGGGGACAGGCCAGAGGTGCGGAGAGGTGAGAGGATTCACCAGAGACAGAGTGGGGAGCAGGACAGGTGGATCCACTGAAACACACTGCTGAGGGGAGCAGCAGGTGAGTCAGGAGAGGTCTGCTGCGCCGGATATGGGTCAGCTCCCTGGCCTGGGATCAAACTTTTGCTGCAGAGGCTGCTGATAGCTTCAGAGTGCTGAGGCTTAACCCCTTCCACCATGAGGGAAGCCCAGATCCTTCCCTTCTTTCATCTTTTCTCCTTTCTTCCCTGTCTCCATTTCTTCCTTCTCTCTCCCTTAATCTTTCTGACTCTTACAATATTTTTTTAATTCCTGCAATTGTACCTTGCCTCACTCTCTGGTTAGTTTCAAAATAGTTGCAAGCAACTAAACCTGACTGGGGAGACTAGGACTGGTTATGGTCCTTTTTTGTTTGTGTAGGGACAATCCAGTTATCAATGGAAAATGGGACATGGCAACAGCAAGCGTGACCTAAGTTAGCCTCAGGAATAAAAGTCCCCAAATGCAAGGCTGGCAGAATCTGAGAGGCTGGTGAATGGGCAGAATGGAGGGAATGCAAGGAGTAGAGGGTGAGCTGGTTCTTTCTGATTTCCACAGAGATTTGAAGAAAGATTATAACATTCTGGGCTTTAAATTCTCACTTCAATTAAGTGCAGAGAACCAGGGGCCTCCATGGTGGTGCAGCAGATTAAGCACAGTGCTGTGAAGCTGTCTACAGCCTCTGCAGCGTGGGTTTGATTCCCTGCTGGCCAGGGAGATACCCACATGGTGAGGCAGACCTCTCCTGTCTCGCCTGCTGCTCCCCTCAGAGTATATTTCAGTAGATCCACCTGTTCTGCGCCCCCACTCTGTCTCTAGTGAATCCTGTCAACCTCCTCCGCCTCTGGCCTGTACCCCAGTTCTTGTATAAAAATAAAAAAAAAACTTAAAAAAAAAAGAGCAGAGAACCAGGGGCCTTCTGTGAGTGCTTTCAGAGAGTAGTATCTCTTTGTGTTTCACAGATTATGAAAAATCAGATATAGAGTCCAGCCTGACAAAATAAGTTAAATTCATATTCTTTCCTGGTATATTACATGACATTTAGAGACTGGTTGAGAGCAAGGGAAGCTGAGAATTGGAATGTGGATACTGGGGAATTTAGATTAATCAAAGCGCCCCCAATTTAAGCTTCATTGCACCTTACTTGTCCAAAAAAGAGAAAGCGCCCCCTCCTCTTTCCTAAGGATGAAGGCAGAAAATATTGCTGTTGAGATGGACTTATTAAATTCAATGCAGATGATGCAAAGCCTGAATGGGACCTTCAGAGAGCTTCAGCAGAGCTAAGACAGGCAGGGTTACTGGAGCAGGCAGTAGGCTAGGAGGGGTGATCAGAAAGGCCTGACCTTTCCTGCAGGGAACTCTGACAACAGCTATAGGATAGGGCCTCCCCTGGTGGCGCAGCGGTTGAGTGCTGGGCTGCAAAGCTGCCCGCAGCCTCTGGAGCTCCGGTTGGATCCCGGCCAATCGCAGGCGAAGGTCCCACATGGCGTGCAGACCTCTCCTGCTGTGCCCTCTGCTCCCCTCAGCAGTGTACTTCATCAGTCTGCCTATTCTGTTCCCGGCTCTGGCTCTGGTGAATTCTCTCACCCTCCTGCGCTTCTGACTGACTGTACCCAGTGCTTGTATAAATAAATTAATTAATTAAAGAAAAAACAGCTACAGGATAAATGGGGATCCTTCAATTGAAATAGAAGGGCAAGAGACTAGTTTCTAAAATGTCAGAATTAGCAAACACAGCAGCCTAATTTGACTTATCAGAGGAGAGAGGCATGGTTTCCCACGCAATTTCTGGAGTCCCTTACTGTGGAATGCATTTAAGGAAGTTTATTATGTAGATATTTCTGCTGCAACTAAAGTTGCTATGTATTTAGACTTTTCGGAGATTATTCTCCTTAGCTAACTAAGGCTTATCACATAAACTTGTACAGTCTGGGCTTATGGAGCTTTGGTGACAGTTTTGGCTTGAGATTGTCTCATAGTACACAGAGCAGCTCTCAAACATAACCTGGCTATTTCCTCCATTTATACATACAGATTTTAACAAAATACATGGCTACTAGTAGTATATAAACATTACTAACTGATGAAATAAAGACTATTTTGATGCAAGTGCCAAGAGGAAGCACTTGGAACCATCCTTCCCCGTCAAAAGAGTCAACCAAAAGCAATATCACTTTTCTGGGTGAATGATAGACATTAATGTCATCTTCGAACCTTGAAATCAGTGGAGGTGCTATTTCTTATAATCTTCCCTTTTAACTTTATTTTTGGTCTTGGAAAATAAAAAGGAATTTTTCTGAAATTAATAAGGTGGTGACTCAAATCATAATTGCTGTTCCAGATGTGCTCTATTTACAACACCGCTCCCAGCATATGGTATGCAGCTATTGAGTTGGAAAGTGCTTACACTGCACCAGCTGGAAAGACTTCTCGTGCCCAGAGCCAATCACAACTGGCAGCTTTATGGCTTATAAGGTAGAGCGTAATGTTTATATTTATACACATATGTATATACACATATATGTGCATACACATCTATGCACGTAGATGCATGTATGCATACAGTGTCATATACGGGCCGTAAAAGTGATATATGCTACTTTCAGTACCCTCAAGGCAAATCCCTGTTCTTATGGCTGGTAGCTGAGAAGGAGGACAGGTTGCAGCAATTTATATTTCAGACCATTTTGGAAATCATATTCTGATGTGTCCCAGATTTCAAAAGATCTCTGAACTAGAAAGACTAAACGTTGCTAGGTATCACTCTTTTTGGCACGTAACTATTTTACTAAAGTGTCCAGAATGTTTGCTACTTCTTGCTCACAATAGCCTATCGTAATGGTATCATCAGCATAGTGGACTAATACCCTGTGTGATTCCATGAGGATGAGTTATTTTTTTAATGTGGGGCACAGACATTAACTGTTGTAAGTTTTTGTTTGCTTAGTTTTTTTTAAGTTACTGATCTTAAAAACTCACATTAAATTTACCATCTTTAATCATTTTTAGGTATCCATTCAGTAGTGTTAAGTATATTCACATGGCAGCACAACAAATCTCTCCAACTTTCTCACTTGCAAAACTGAAACTGTATACTCACTAAGAACTTACTCTCTCTCCTGCTCCCCACAGCCCTTGTCAATCATCATCATTCTGTTAATATGTTCTTGATTGCTTTTAATACTTATTATTAATGGAATCAGATATGATTTATTCTTTTGTGACTAGCTTTTTTTGGGTTTAGCATAATGGTCTCAAGATTCTTTCAGGTTGTTGCTTCTGATAGAGTTTCCTTCTTTATCAAGGCTACATAATATTCCCTTGTATATATATATATATATATATATATATATGCACCATATTTTCTTCATTCATCTGACAATGAACATTTGGGTTATTACCACTTCTTGGCTATTGTGGTTAATGCTGCGATGAACATGTAGGTGCAAATATCAATTTAAGATCTTACTTTCATTCTTTTGGTTGTATACCCAGAAGTAGGAGAACAACATTATATAATAATTTTAGGAAACTCTTTCCAGTTTTCCATATTAACAAACACACTGAAATTACCCTATTTCCAAAGATGATTTTTCTTTTCTGTGATCATTATGACAGATGGACTTTATGCTTTCAACGCCTTGGTATCAAGAAGGCTCCCTTGCTTGAGAACCCTTATCTTTATTGTGGTAGAGAGGAAATGTCATGCATTGTAGGTCCACTATTCATTGAGTGGCCTCAACTTTATTTCTTAATGTCTTACTTAATGTAAGACACTTAATGTCTTCACACCTCAATTTGTTTTGCTGCAAATTTAGCTTTTCTGGTGAGGATAGCATGGACTAATACATGTGAAAATGCTTCATAAATGAGAAGGAATTATAATTTATTAATCCATTCATGTATATTTGTGATACTCACAAATTTCTTCAGTCACAGGAGGACTATCCATACCTATCTTCATGGATCTCAATGTAAATAGATTGCCTTCTGTGACTGGAGTTTTAAAAAAAGATAATTTTTAAGGCTCACTAAGAAACTGGAGATAATCATGAAGGAAAAAAGAGCGAGAATGAGTCCTTGTATGTATTTATTTTCCCCACAGAATAAGGCCCTTCCTTACATTCCTTTTTGTGATAGAGTGGGTGAGTCATCTGATGCTGCAGTGGTTGTCTAGTAGCATTTAAGATTCAGGACAGTTCACATCTGCTAAAATACAGACAATTACCAAAGCAAAATGATTATTATTCATTAAAATGACAGAGAAGTCAGGAAACTAGATGAATGCATCTAGGCCATGAAAGCAAGACCCATGATACAGCAGGGTCTGTGTTCGAGAGACAGGTGGAATTTTCCTTCATTGTAGTCCCAGAATTCCCTGCCCAGCTAATGGTATTTATATAGGTGCAACAGGACTGTTAGTTATGACACCTCATGCCCCATGTAGCCAAGACAAATCAAGGGTTAGATGATTATCTGTGATAATCCTTGCTGGTCAATTTGAATTAATTTTTTTGGGGGGAGACTGAAGCGCATTTGCAATGTTACTAACAATATCTTCCTATGTTAGAAACAAATTTCATCCATTTTCTCTCATTCAATTATGTCTCTACTGTTGGAATAATAGTCCATGCTCTATGAATGTTCTACGTTAAGTCAGACCACTTCATGTAGTTCTCTTGAGAAGTCCTTATTCTGTTCACTTTTCAAGTATCTAGCTATCCTCTGAAAGTCTCCAGCTATTATGTTGTATACACAGGAGAATTGTATATTAGTTAAATAGTTATTATAAGTCTGGCATCCCCATGAGTAGTATCTTAGTAGGGTATAGATCATCACAATAGGACTAAGTCATATGTTGATCCCCTGCACTGGCTGCAGATTTTTTGAGTGGAATTAAACAATTTTTGCAAAGCAAGCCAAAGAATCTAAAGAGAAAAGAAACAAAGGGATACAAAATGATACATCTGGTATCTGTAGTCAACTCTGGTGAGGTCAATGCTACTGACATGGCTGCAGAGATTTCAGTGTAATTATTTGATTGACATGTGGTCTGGGTCCAATTTCCCTAAAGCTGAAGATTGCCTTATAAATGTGAGGAAAATTCAGATCCCTGAAGGTACTTGACTAAATTCTGTGACTAGAATGAAATGAAATATTCCTTCTGATATTTCAACTGGTCTATTAAATTTTTGTTAGTAGGATTAGGTGGGAAAATGACAAATCCAGTAATCGACTAGTTCTCTTTTGGTGATAGAGAAAGCTTATGGGAGGTCAGTCATTTAAAATGACTTATATGTGTGCAAACACATTGATGAACCTTTTGGGGCAATTTTAGGGATTCTCAAGGTCTATATCATAATAAGTAAGATTAACAACCTGGCTCCTAATACCTTCTGTTTCTGGGGAATTCTTAAGAATCCCTGGCTAAAGATAGCCTGATAAAACATGTTCGACCAATGGTCAAGGGAAGATGACTTGTGTTTTTTAAATTAGAAAACATGGATTCCAGGGTCAATGCCTAGGATCTGAAAAGCTTTGTTTTTTTGTTTTTCTAATCAAAGTTTGAGTGTCATCTTTTTCCAAAGGACTCAAATTCTGCATTGGAGAACATTCACAACTGCCTAGTAGAATGTTATGGGGGAGCTCCTTACACTTGTTGATAACCCTGGGTGTGTGTTGTAGTACTTGTCCATCTCAACTCGCAATGGAGACTGGGGTGAGGGTCTTAAAAACATGCTGCAGCTGGTAACTTAACGCATAAGGTGAATACTGATAGAACCCCAAAAGTAGTTGACTTCATTGTCTTTAAAGCTAATGAAACACCTTTGGCAAAGTGAAAAGTGAAGTTGAGTATCTATGAAAGCACTACTGATTTTAGTTTTAGAATTTCATTTATTTTCTTTATTTTTCCTGAAGATCAAGAATTAGTAAAAGTCAAGGCTTTGCAAAGTTCATGAATATGAGTCCTTGGAATTGTCTGCCCTGTCACTGGAGAGATGGGCTAATTTTCCCTATATCAGAAATAAACAAACAAAACCCGAAAGTTTTCACTACCACCTTAGTCTTCTTTTCCAGCAACAAAAAGCATCATGAGAATAACCAATGACCCAAAGATCCTACCAACTACTTGTGGGGTTGAAGAGGGCAGGAGCTTGGAGGCTTTGATTTCTGTTCATGCCCCATCTTCACAGCCTTGCAAGAATTATGCCATTGACAAGACATACACTGGGAACATCCTTAGCAATTCTTTCAAAATCATCCAGCCAGTGGTGATTCAATAGCATGACCAATTTAGGTACATGACTACAGAAAAATTAATGCAGCACTTTTCTTGACTGCAGATCAGTTTTGTGACTGCCTTAGTTACCTCCCCAAGGCTTTCTTAATCAGTCAATTCATGGATGTCTTCCTTGACTCTCTCCAAGACTTTTCTTCTTTGAGTGGCATGGCTACAATAATTTTAGTTAATGCTGCATGTTTAGCCCAGCAGCACCTAGGTCATTATCAGGATGTTCTGGAACACTATGCTTTGAATGAGCCTCCCATTTCATCATAACTAAAGTTTGTTTCTATTTTTTATACGCGTTTCTGTAGAAATCAGGACAGCACTTTGATTCTGAAGCATTACCTCCAACAGAGCCCATTTTTCCAAGCTTCCCTCCAGCCCATGTACATCTTTGCCTCTTACTTGTTGCAACCTGGTTTTCTCAGAGGGGAGTGATCATTTTCAATCTGTGATACTATAGCCTGCTTAACATTTTTTATTTCTTATTTTTATGTACAGATAAAATTAAATTAGGATTACCTAAGAGATTTTCCAATAACTTCTCCCACAAAAGTCAAACAATGAAGGGATCTCCTTCCTCACTTAGAGGGTTGTTGGGTTCTGGGTCCTACAGAAACAGAGATATTCAAAAGGGAAAGCCATAATACTCCAGTAGGAAGTCACTGTCAATAGTGCTGACAGTGTCAGAGAAGTGCTGACACTCTGCCCTTTATGAGGAACCCTCAGATTTGTGGAGACCTTTAGAACTGTGTCAGCTGAAGATTTTACTAGCTCTGTTACTTCAATGCCAGGATGCATATGCACCCGCCAACAGGTGATAGTCCCAACGGGTTTCTAATCATTCCTTGTAGCTGAGGCAATACTCCAAAGCCTTCCCAGGACACTCATGGTCAAAACTAAAAGACTTTGTAATAATTAAATATACCTAACATTGTGGGTATTGAAGAGCCTTCCTTTGTTTGCCAAAGAGGTGTGTCTGAAGCTCCCTTTTGATAATTAATCCAGCAACTTCCTAAATCATCTAAATGACTTTTTCTTTACAATGTCCACAGAGATCCTTTGTAAGAAGAGTCCATGCTTTTCTATTTTTACTATTAGTTTCCTCTTGGTAGCCATTTGGGCTGCTTCTGATCTTTAGCTACTAAAATAATAACCTGTGAATCACTGAGGCTATTAAACACAAGTG